GGTGCAATACTAAGGAGTTTACCTCACTGATCTCACAACAATAGAGACAGGATGTATAAGTCTTTATTTGTTATTTACTTGAAGCAGTGGGTGAAGTCGGCGTAGATCTTGAGGATCAAAAATCATGGATTGTTGTGTTTATTGAATTATATCATGTTTTTGCCCTGGAAAAAGAAAAACGTAAAATGTAACGAAAAATACTCTAGACTTAGCAGTCCGTCCTCCAGGTCTGATCCCTTTCTGCCCAATCACAACATGTATCTTCTGTTCCCGATAAGACCTGAGTTTTCCTGGCCCACCTCGCTCCGATAAGATGCGCAACAGGACTCAATCTCCAGCCTGTAAGCTTGAAAATCTCACCTTACAATCATACTGCTTCTTCCAGGCGGCTGTCGATTTTTAAAGAATCACGTGAGAGACCAAACATCAAGTCAACTGGTAAAATAGATGACCGACCGAACTGCACTTGCGAGATGGTCCAACAGTTTCTCAAGGGCTTTCTGATGTCATTCCCCCCAAACAAAAGGTTGTGGAGAAGGTACTGATCTGTACTTTGATTTTACGCACCGCACCGCTCTGGCCACACTGTCAGGTTCTGTTTGCAATAACTGAAAGAGTTGGTGCGCTGTTCGTGAAAAATTTTGGTTGTACTGCGGTAATACCCCAGAAGGCCCATGTTTTCCAAGGGTAGAACTGCTTCAACCTTTGTTGGATCTAATTGGCAACCTGAAGCAAAAACTATTTGTCTTTGGCGTAAGCTTTATCCCATGGGCACGCAGATGTTAAAGCACTTGTCGGATGTGATTAACCTGTTTTTCAAATGTTTTTCTGTAGACTATGATGTCATCAATGTACGGGATACATATGTACATGTCCTATCTAAGACCAATAAGACAGTGTTCCATAAAATGCTTAAGCTAGGAGCTTCGATTTCAAATCCATTTAAAGGACACTTCACTGTTAAACGTACACTTCCGCCCAACAAGACGAATCGCTTGTGCATGTTCCTGCGGCCACAAATGACTGACAAACGTCTGTGACCGTCCCCTGTCTTCTAGATACTTTTGTTCTGCCAAAGTTGATTTTGCCTAACAAAGAGTAAACCGTTTTATTAGACACGCAGTACAATTATTGACAATCAATAACGAGGCAATACGGAGGTTTTAAAAGGGATTTATATTCTACCCCACTGAAGTTTTGAATGATTTCGGCATATATCTTGTGGATCAATAATTATGAAATGTAGCAGTTAAGTGTGTTGACTGAATAGTATCATATTTTTGGAAAAACGATAAATTTACGGAACAAGGTCTTACCTTTTATGTCACTGTCACGAGACCGTCGAAATCTAAACCACTTGAAAATCAAACGATAAAGAGCGCCCGCTGCCGGCGCGGCCCCTGTATTTCCCTAATTTGTAAACGATCCGCTAGTTTGCCCGAAAATGTGATCTTTGGTAACCAAGTCTTTAGTCATGGAAGAAGTAGCATACCTTATTATAGGAAATTAACGCTCCATGAAATTAAGGTATTGGAAATTAACGCGACTTAAATTAACGCGAATTTAAGGGAAAACGACTGTCGAATAAAGAACATTAACGTGAAAGAGGAGGCAGAATTTCATAAAAAGGAAATTAACGCGATTATCTTGGCCGAAATCAAAGGAGAAAATATTGACATCACCTCTGACAGCGACAACGATGAAGATGGACTCGAAGTATTGTAAACCATCGCCTTAGCTTTTGTGAAAGATGAAAAATAAAGGGTAAATGGAAAGAAAGAAAGCTTGTAGTTAATGTTTTTTAGGTGTCAAGAATGTCTGGAACGGTTCCAAAATTGGAGTTAAAATACTGGAAATTAAGAGCGCGGAAATTAACGCTGCACTTAATTAACATCGCGGAAATTAACGCTCAACAAAATTAACGCGACTTAAATTAACGCGAATTTTAACGATTCGCGTTAATTTCATGGAGCGTTAATTTCCTATAATAAGGTATATCCTGAAATAACTACAGGGAACCCACACAATCTGTGTTGGCGTAGCCGTTTGTACTTTTTTAGTAAATGCATTCAATTAACCTTAATTTGCTTTAGCTGTAGCGTTATGTCTCAAAATATGTGTAGGGATCAAAGCTACATGAAAATAAACCTTTTATTTCTTAACCTGTGGTATCTTAATTGTTGTTGATAATTTGATCAATACAGTAAACGGTAAACTCAAAATCCTCAAAAAGGACTAAAACAAAAACACTTCTGAGACAAAAGGACGACAAGATATAGCAGTTACGTAGACGTAACGTGTATTTAACATTGATCCATGCCTGTCGTTTTCTAGAAATCTCTGCAGGTGTAGCAAATACATTTACTATAAAATTAAACGCAGTTGCACAAATAAATTGCGTTTGTGGTAGATATGTACCTGTTATAGACGTATCAGTTATATGAAAGACAGTTACAATAAAGCGTCCATTAATGGTAAATTTGAGAGGGTAGTATATGTA